AGCCTGATTGTACAGCAATGTCGACAGCACTTCAGAATACTCTTCGAATTACGAAAGACATTTCCTGAGTTGGTATGCAATTACTGCCAGAAAAAATCGTTTTAGGTTTATTTCCAGCATGTCACTCGCAATGGCGATTCACAAATGCGATCCTACACCATTTAATTCGGTTCGCCGCTTATGCCGTAACGTACTCTGGTCATGGCAAGTCAATGGTCAATGGATAGCGCGCCGTACACGTGCCGACGCTGCCAACGCTCATCAGATTTCAGCGCCATTAAGATGTTGAGTGAGACAAACTTTAAAACATGGTATTACTAGACGGGTGGCGGTAGGTACAGTATGACATACGTCCGTGAGGCGTTATCTTTTTTCAAGAATATGATGCTTGTGGCGCTTCTCCACATCCACACATAACACGTGTAAGCACCACTGATGGCGTGATCTATTTTTCCCCCTTTTTCTGATCATAACCATTGCAGAAGATGTCTTGTAGACTTGACCATACCACTTGAAACCATACGCAAATTTGCCTGTCCATTTGGTGCGCATCGACGACGTTTCTTACATATAGCAACCGCGGTCCAGGACCTTAGACGGGCGGCGCCCCCACAACACCTGACCCCGGCGCGGTCTGTGAGGCCACTGGCCAGGTGTGTGTGTGTGCGTGTGACCTGTCGCCGGCGTCTGGACCACGCCGGCGGGCAGGGCGGCGGAGCACGACCGTCGCTCGGCCGCCGCCCGCCACCATCACGACGCGACCCTCGCCCCAGCCACGCCGGACGGGCGGCGGCGCTGAACGGTGACCGGGCGGCGGCCCCGCCGAGCCGCCGCGCCGCGCCAGGCGCGCGGACGCGCCGCGCCGCTCAATCAATGCGGCGCGCTGACGGCGCGCGGCGCGCCCACGTGTGCACGCCGCCGGCGCCGCCGCCCCGCCGCGAATGGGCACCGCTCGTGAGACGGGGCCGGCGCGGTGGCACGACCCAATTGTTGGGGCGGCGGCCCGGCCGTGCAGAGGAGCGCCGCTGTCCGGGGGGCCGGCGCGCACGCGGCCTGAGCGCAACCTCCCGAACCAGGATCGAGTACCGGGCATGAAACACCACAGCTGAGACGGATGGGGCGAGGGGAAGGCCACGGTACGCGACTACCTGGCAGCCATCGAAGAAAGGCTCTTCTTGCTGGCCTCGATAACCTAATTGATCGTAAAATGGATAAGTTATCTTCGCCACAGGACACAATAAACTCCGACAAGCATAAAAGGGAACGTCAAGTGATGTATTGCGGATAAAAGAGCACGCGTTATTATTCTTGGTCATGGCTCCAGCATCTGGCGATTTCAGTCCCCAAGAACGGGAGCGGAGATGCTGAATACAGCTGGGCAGGCACGTGTTAAACTTGCGCCCAACAGCTATAACATTGGTCAGTGGAGGGACACAGTCGCTGTATTTCCTAGCCGCCAACAGCTTAGTTTGGTAACCATGCTGCCTTGGCGGCTATTAAAACCCTAAATTCTACATCTAGTTCTTGGTGAGCACCGCGACAAACCAATACGTTAAGTGTTAAGTTGGAAAATTCATATATCAGGCTTTCAGCAAAATCTGTTATATGGCAATCTTTGGCGACCAAACCGTTCCCCAGATTTTAACCCCATTCATATATCAGGGCTTCAGCAAAATCTGTTATATGGCGATCTTTGGCAACCAAACCGTTCCCGAAATTTTAACCCCATTCATATATCAGGCTTTCAGCAACATCTGTTATATGGCAATCTTTGGCGACCACACCGTTCCCGAAATTTTAACCCATCAGAGAAGCGGTCCAAGACTAAAGCCTGCGGCACTTTGGGGGAGGGCGTGCATGTGTTAGGTGCTCTCACTTCTAGTGACAGAGCACGCTAAACACATGAAACAATACATATCATATAATACAATACACTTCGAACTTTTAAGTTGTATTTCTGACACCCGGGCAGGGAGAGTGTACCCATCATTTCAGAAACGGACTGTATCTCTTGAGTTTACTTCACCATAGCTCGCGCAATCGTCCGTCACATGCCTTTTCTGCCATACTACAAAGCGAAAACAAGCAAAAAATTATTGATGTGAGTTAAAAATGTATTGCTTTGTGTAGATTTCTAACGGACATGGACATATGACCACAACACTTGAATATCTGGCTGACACGCTTTCTTGGGAGCAGCTAGTCTGGGTGAGGGGAGGCTAAACAGGGGTGCACGGCCTCCGGTGAAGAGAAAATCCCTAAATTTCGCCAGCTCTCGCCTGCTTTATTCGGGGTGACCCAATCTGTTCCTACCCGCCTTGCGAATAGGTGACTACATTAGATTTCCCTGGACATTGAACAATGAGGATGTCTTACCATTTCCGGACAGAGGGCTCCGCGATTGGAACACTGAGCAAACCTTTCCGCCTCCCGGCAACGTATAGTCACACCTACCGTGTAATCCATCTCCTTTCTTCTCTGTTCGATCACAGAGAAATGTGGTAGCATCAGCTCTAGCGTGGTCAAGATCAAAACGTGCAGCATGTGGTAAATGTTTAAGGTCATACAAGGCTTCTCCATCATTTGTAACTCAAGGTGCAAATGGGTAAGAGCGATTGTCTCTATTTTCATGCGTAAAAACACGCTCTGTGCTATGAACTGCACGAGCAGAGATTTGCTCGCTTTCACCAGGACTCAAAATAACACTACCATCAAGGCAAGTCTGAATACTAGACGATAATGCGCTGAATACAGCATCTGACCTAGAACGGGAACAGTTATACCTCCAACCCACCGCACAAGACATTTCATCGTAACGTCCCACTTCGTGGGGACTGCCGAAGAGAAATTGCCCAACAAAGCGATAGCTATAGTGTTCCATTTCAATCATGATAACGGTACGGGTCGTCCTATCAGTACAGTGCCTCGCCACCCCATCCCCCGACAAATGGGCCCCCATTCGTCGGCTGCGAGCGGCTGGTCCGGACGCCGCTGGACGCAATGGCCGGTCCGGCAGAGCGGGGTCACGCTGCCGCCGGTCAGCGGCGCTGCAGCTGGCGCGAGAGCCGGCCCGCTACTGGCGACCGGCTAGGCCGCCGACACTCACCTTCATCGTCCGACATCATCGAGTCGTCCTGGTCCGAAGCCGCGCCATCCTCCACGTTGTTGGTCTCGGGCTCGGCCGGCGCCTCCTTGGTGCTGCTGCTGCTGGTGGTGGTGGTGGTGGTGGTGGCGTATTTTGAGTTACTCTCATTGAGCCGTGTGAAGTACTCGACGGCGTACGCCACCAAGTTTTCGGGCTGGTTGACCAGCACGTTGACGGTGAACTCCAGCAGGAGGTCCTCCAGCTGAGGCGGCACTTCGTAGTGTCGGGTGGTCATTGCCGCCGGCACTGCCGGGCAGACGAGAGCCGTCAG